CGTCGCTGGCGGGCGCGGGCCGCCTCTGCCCGCCTGGGGGGCGGCGGGCTGCGGTGGGGAGTCGTCAGTAGCCTCAGGTGCGTTTTACCCCTTTACCCGCAGATTTTAAGGATAACCTAAACAAAGTGTACGAAGCTATTGAGGAGTCGGACTTCCTGGCCATCGATGGGGAGTTTTCAGGTACGGTCGCACCTGTTTGGTGCTCGCGAACCGCTGGCAGTATCTGTGCGGGGTCCCGGGTGCCCGAGTTTGCTCATCTACGGTGGCTCAGTGTTGGCTTGAAGAAGCTAAAGCTGAGGCTACCGCAAAATGATTAAACCACTTACTATATGTGTGATAGCAAGGTTTTGGTCAAATGAAGATACACATCATACTCTGCTGCTTCTGCTCCCTCCCCGCAGTAATCTTTTAACGTGTTAATTGATTTTTAGCTGCAGCTCAGGGAGAAGAGAAAGATTTTATATGTATCAGGAAACCAAGAGATTGGGATAAATAAGGGGGGCCCTGCAAGTGTTTGGACAGGGAAAGACAGCAGTAAGAACTTTGACGTTGGTAAAACCCAGAGGGTCTGTGCATCAGAGAGATGCCTTAATAAGTGCTTTGGGATACAGAGTTCAGTCAACCATGACACATAAATGTGATCAAGATTAGATTTTGTTAGATGTGGAGCTTGTGGAAATATGGTTGTTGTTATGTACGGCTTAAGGTGACCAAGCCATTCAATACATCTGCGGACAGCACTCTTCCCGTTTTTAGTTTGACTTTGATCCTGCATTGTGTCGTAAAGACCCATCAACATTATGTTACTAGTAGGTCTTTTCATGTTACTGTTGTGTTGAATAGGAACCAGAGCAACAGAGCTTTTGCCGCAGAGCTTTACTGCTAGAACTGTACCATCTGGGTGGCTTTTACACTAACATGCATACTTTTATGCAGTAGGATATATTTCTCAACTGAAATAATCTTAACATGTACTTTAAGTGAAAACGTTTTTCTTAAATTGTTGCATTTCTTTGCTGTGGCTAATTTTTAAATGCTCACCCAAAGCAAAATACGTTCTACTTTTTCAGGGATCAGTGATGGGCCTTCTGTTAGTGCATTAACCAATGGCTTTGACACTCCAGAAGAAAGGTATCAGAAACTTAAAAAGGTAAAGTGTTTACCTTGAATAAAATGAAGATGCTGGAAAAAGATGAGAACTCCTTAGTTCAGAATGGAGACAATGTAGGGAAATATGACAGAGGTCTGTAAAATTGAGTTACGTAGAGCAGATGGGGATTGCTTGTTTCATTGTCTCCACTAACAAGAAGTGGGAAGTGTTGCATTAAACCTGCAGAAGTCATGGTCAGAACAGACACATATGACTCCTCATGCAAGAGTTAGTAGATGTGTAGAACTTGTTAAAGGATGTTGAGAGTGTTAAAATTTATCGGTTCAAAGGGAGACTGGGTAAGAGAAGTTCAGTGACAGCAGGACTAGGGTCCTTCCCAAATTACTTCCCCTGCCAGCATGTACTTACCCTGACAAAACTTAAATGCCAGCTGCCACCACTGCCTCTTCCTCTTTGCAGCACACACACACAAAAAAAAAGGTGCCAGAGGATGTGGAAAGAGTTTTGAAAAATAGCCAAATGACCACAGGAGACAACATATGGTGTGTGAGGTTCAAATGGTCAAAACTGTGATGTCTTGGGTTGTGGGTTTGGTGTTTGGTTTTGGGGTTTGGGTTGTTTTTCCGTAAGAGAAAGGAATCAGAAAAGGGAAATCCTAAGCATCTCAGCACATGCTGTTTCCTGAAGTGTCCAAGGAGTCAGTAAACACTGTTTCCTAATATTATGTTAAGAGACATTGCAGGATGAGGGAATGACTAGTTAGTGTTCCTACTGAGAAACTAGGACAACAAATGGCAAAAACAGGGGAGGAGGCGGTAGCTAAAAAAAAAAAAAAAAAACCAAAAAAAAAAACCCAAAAAAACACAAAAAAAAAAAAAAAAAAAAAAAAAAAAAAAAAAGAAAACCCCCAAACACTAAAGGAGACAATAAAAGTAGAGATCAGTCTCTGAAGAGCATCCAAGAAGCTAGAGGATGCCATGTTTTCTTCACCTGGATGAATATGAGCCTTTGAGTCCTTCAGGGTAGCTGACAATTCAGGCTCTGCACGCACAATCAGTCTCTCTTGCTCATTGTAAGAGGTCTGGTGTATTAGAAGCTAGCCCCAAATTCTTTGTTGTCACCTTCTTAAAACTTAACTTTTACCAGAAAATAAATTAACTTGATTATTGTTATTTTTGATCTTTATAGTCAAGAGGACTAATTTTCTATGTCCTGCTGCCACCCATTATTTTTTCTCTATGATAGTATTGAATAATTCTGTGTGTTCTTTGTGTTTAAAATGGGTGTTTGGCCCTCAGGAGGAATGACTCTTTGAATGAGATCACAGCGCTTTTTTATTTTCTTGTACACTTGCAGTGGTGTTAAAAACATTTCCAATATTGATCCAACAATTGTGAAATACTAGAGGACATGATGATAAAGTGCCTAGTGACTATGCTAGTACATCTATCACGTTATCCACTGTTAGGCCCATGAGTTAGAAGAATATTAAATGTATTATTATGTGTATTTGAAAACTATATACAGCCAGTGTCCCTCACACCCTGCTCCCACACTATGGGGAATGTAAATGAATGTTGAGGAGGAGACTGACAGCTGCTTTAGGTGCAGCATCTCATATGTGTGAGCAACAGGTGGAGAGAGAGATGTTCTTGTCTGTTTACGGAATGGAAGTGCATGCTACAAATCATCTTTGGGCAATTGTAAGATGATTAAATGGGGATGAAAACTAGTTGAAAAACTCTGGTGTATTTATGTAAAAATTACCAACGGAACAAACGTTGGTTAAGAAGGTTCAGATTTGCTTAATTTTGAAATACAGCAAAATCATATTTATTGTGGATGCACCCCAGTTTTCTTTAAATCTGTACGATTTTTATTCTCATGCAAAGTTTTCCTTTCCTTTCCAGCATTCCATGGATTTTTTGCTCTTTCAGTTTGGCCTTTGCACTTTTAAATATGATCACACAGAAGAAAAGTATGTTATTCTCTTATTCCTTGTTTTCTTAATTGAGGAATTTGCAAAGTAATAGTGATAAGCTGTACTGACATGCAACTCATCTTTTTCACAGGTATGTAATGAAGTCATTTAATTTCTATATTTTTCCAAAACCCTTTAACAGAAGTTCACCAGATGTCAAGTTTGTCTGTCAGGTTAGTAGAAAAACAAGTTTGATTTTGTTTGGTTAAGGTACACCTGCAGCAAACTTCCAAAAAATATTTCCAGGAAGACTCTACATCATTGCAGAGGGAGAAGTGGTTGGTTCTTTTAACAGCTTAAGAGGCAGAAAAACATAAGTTTCCGGGGTTTGTTTGGTTTTTTTTTTCTTATAAAAGAAATAAGCATCAGTTAAGAGCAATCCCTAAAAATGAGCTCTAAGGGAATATCTTTGACTTAAGTTTTTAAATCTTGTCACACATTACATTGTGTGGTTTCTGGAGTTGGAGATAACGTTCCAAACCTGGCAAGATGATTCTTTTCTTTCTTTTTTTTTCTTTTGTTTGTTTTTTTGTTTTGTTTTCTTTTTTTTCCCCCTTTCTTGTCTGACTTCCTGCTCCCTTGCTTTTTCTGTTTGATCCTTTATTCCCAGCTGCTTATCTCACTTTCACTGTTTCCCAGGCTATTGCTGGCATTTTTCTGCTCTCAGATTTGTTCTCCTGAACTACATTTTGCTTTCTTTAGTTTCCTCTCTCCACACAGCTCATTCTTTCAGCTTTATGCCTTTAGTGTATTTATTGTTCTTGTACTTTATGGAAGTTGAAAATAAATAGCAAGAGTAGCATAGCCTAAACTCTCTGGCTTCTTCAGGGTCACAAACTTGGTCGCTCTTGACTTTGGACTTCATATAATTTCTTTAAAAGTGTAAAAATAACTGAATTGATCTTTTTATGCCACAGATACTCTTGCCAATTGTGAAGCTGTTTTCTTTTGTTGCAGAGTTCAAGTATAGATTTTTTAGCAAACCAAGGATTTGATTTTAATAAAGTTTTTCGCAACGGTGAGTTGTTTTGTTGTTTTTTTTTCTCTTTCTTTCAGTGTCTGCAAAATTTATGATGACATCTTTCTTCATTTTCTGCAAAAAGAAAAAGGCAGCCATTCATGATACTCTCTTAACACATAATGAAGTTCTTAGAATTATTTTTACCTGATCTATAATTGTGCTGATAGTTACTCCCTTTCCAAAAATTCATTGTATAGATTCAACAGAATAGAATTCCTATTTAGATGAGTGCTTGGTTGTTTATTTTTTTTGGTGGCTAAACATAAATAGATAGAATAAGAAGT